CTCAATTCCACTCACAAGACCGTTGATTGTATCCGGGCTCCAAATGGTGAATGGACCAACTCCAGAAAGGATTTTCTTGACATCCTTCTGGACTCGCATTTTCCAAGGAGTGTAGTCTCTGATGCTGATTTATCAACTCAAATCAGTTCGCTCCGTTTCAAGTGACCAACACCCAAATCAAGTGGGCTATCTAAACCTTTAAACCAGGTCCCAGGTCCGGACGGCTTCATTCCTGCTGACATTCAACAAGGAGAATTTGTTATCCTTCACTGGCTTCTAAGCATATACAATAGTTGTCTCAAACTAATGTATACCCCAAGCTGCTGGAGAGTGACTCGTGTAGTTTTCATTCTCAAAGCGGGGAAAACAACTCACTGCAGTGCCAAGGATTAATGACCAATCAGTCTGTCCTCCTTTCTTCTAAAAGTGCTGAAGAGGGTTCTAGATCTTCATATCAAGAACATTATAAACCCGGTACTTTTATCTTCATCACTGCATGCATATACTAAAGACAAGTCTGTCTATACTGCGCTTCATTCACTCATTTCGCAAGTTGACCTTTCCATCTCTCTCAGGGAGTACGCACTTGCTACTTTTCTAGATATCGAGGGCGCTTTCAACAACGTTTGCCCCAATGGTATCGTAAAATCCCTTTCAAAGCTAAACCTTGACGATAATCTGGTGAAATTTGTAGAGATTCTCCTCAAAACTAGGATTATTACATCCGACATCAATTACAACTCATGACTGCTGTTCTTCACTAAATGACTTAGCTTAGGTTTGTTAGGGTCAAACTCATTTGGGTTCCTGGCCACAGGGATATCCCGAAGAATTATAGGGCAGACGACCTCGCCAAGGCAGGCGCTCTTCTCCCTAACATTAACTTCTCAGATATAGGCGTTCCACTTGTTACAGTTAAACTAGCAATTAAACAAAAATACCTGGGCAAAGCCAAGCAATAATGAACTGACTAACCTCAATGTCAGATTTCTAGGATGATTTGGTCTAATTTAAACAAGGAAAGAACTAGTCAGCTACTTCAACTAAGAAGGAACTTGGTTAGCACCATGGTATCTGTGCTCACGAGACACCTTGTAATAGGTAGGTATGCTATGAGACTTCCCTTTAATGATTATTGTCGAGGTTGTGGCTCTGAGGATGAGGAGGAAACTGTACTCCATCTCATATGTCAGTGTCCTTCCTTAACTAGAAGACGATTAAAAATCTTAGGATCCCCTATTCTCACCGTTCTGACTGAGCTGTCATCCCGTAATGTTAGGGACCTAGACAAGAACTGTCAGGTTGGTTTTCTTTTACCTATTGGGGGAGTCGTTACCTTCGTTCGGCGTTAAATGTATACTGATATAAATCTATGTAGATATCAACGTCACTAATTTGGTACTACAATGGGCCATCATTTGAGCTCAAGTGGGCTTTTTTTGGGATACAAGGCCGCCACTTCAACCTACCTACCTACCCAGTAAAATTTAAATAATAGCAATCACTGTATGTCATTGGAACGTAAGTAGTTTTAGTCAAGATATATTTGAAGTTACGGAGTTTCTGATTCAAAATGATGTCAATATCTTGCTTATATCTGAAGCTCTTTGATTTGTAAAAACTTTTTTCAAATTAATGGATACCAATTTTACGAAAATAAACATCCCAACGGTATAGCAACTGGTGTACTGATTGAAAACATAACTCAACATTACGAAGTGCAAGAGCACAATCCTAAACGTCTCCAAACTACTTACATTTTGTATATTTTCGACTAACGAAGATTGTAATTTTAGCAATTTATTGTTCATCTTGGTTTGTAGTTAGTACTAAACTATTTCTTTAACTTTTTAATGGACTGAGTCCTAAATTTCTAGTTACTGGTAATTTCAATATAAAATACACTTTTTGAAGTTTAAGGTTGATATTCCTTCTAGGACACCTTCTAGGACGACTTACTGGTCGTCAGATAATCGAAAAACTTCGGACTCAATCGATTTTGGCATAATTAAAAATCTGAAATGTAAAGATATGATTGCTAATATTCCTTGCAACCTGTCTTTCGATCATTCTTCTATTATGGAAACTCAGGCAAAACTTAGTTGCACTGATTCAAAATCCAAAATAAATTTACAAGTTAGAAGGTATACAAAAGTATAATAAATGAAGAGGTATGTAATAAATTGATCATAATTTCATTCAGTTTCAATTTCAATTTCACATTGACAACTTCATTTCCATGAAAAGAAATTTGAGGCGAAAATGGCAAATACTCCGATATTCGAACGCAAAACAGAAACTAAATAAAGCTACAAAGGATCTAAAAAGGACGCTACGTACTGGTAAAAATCTATATATTGAAGAATAGGCCTCTTTAAGAAAAATATTTATTCCTTGTGCAAAACAGCAAAAACACTTAGATCACCAATTTAAAATGATCTTCCGGTTAGAAACCCGTCAAATATTCGGCTCGCAGTGACGGCTCGAAGATAGAGATTACAATCTAGCAGAAAATCTAAAGATCGTCTTTTAACTAAATTCGAATACAATAGCTGTCCAACCTTAGATTAAATCTCAACTGTTGAAAATATTGCGCTTGAATGATTTTTATAAGACTGTTCGGGTCTTTTCAAACCCAAAAAAGTTATCTGGTGATGATGAAATTACAGGTAAAATAATACTGCAATTACCTGATAAATATCGGGCTCACGGTGACGACGATAAAGATTGTATTCTAGCAGAACACTGTAAGAGCATCTTTTAACCAAATCCAAAAACAATACATTTCTAATCAAATATTGAGTTTCTAGTTTCTATCAACTGCTGAAAATACCATACTATTACGCTTGGAAGAAGATGTCAAGAAGATTACCCGGATTTTATTGAACCCAAAAATGGAATCTGGATATGATAAAATCACATGTAAATAATACATTAACTACCCAACCTAGCAATATCGTTCCTGACGTTAAAAATGTTGTTGTCGAAATATGATGCTTTTAATAATTCGGTAGACGTGTTGTATGTAATCATCAATTCGATTTTAGAAAAAGACTTCGGACTATTGAGCAAGTCCACAGAATTGCCATAAAAATTCATGACAAAAATACTGTTGAACAGTATTCTTGGAAGTGGGTAAAGCTTTTCATAAAGTCTGAAATGATGGCCTAATGTATAATATGTTATAACTTACTTCAATCTTAAAAATATGAATTATCATTTCTTCTCATATATAACCACTAGAATATTCCAATTGAAATACATTTTATTACAAGCGAAATTAATATAAAGGTACTCGGGCCTATTCTTTACTTAATTTACACAGGGTATCTTCTCTTATACTAAAACCATGTAATTGTGACCTTTGCGGATGACACCACAATTCTCAGTACATACAATGATTATAATAGTGTATCTTGCAGTCTCTCAGTTGATTTGAGTCATTTGGCAGAATGAAAAATTGCAAAATTGCTTGCAAAACAGCGCATCAAAGTTAATAAAATGAAAAGTGTGCAAGTCACTTGGATGTTGCAAAAAGAAATGTGATCAAACCCCTATCAAACGATGTCGAATATCATGGCATTCATCTTGATAGACGGCTGACAGGCATATCAAATAAGAAAGCTCAAATAAAACTGAAACCACAGCAAATATGATGTACTGTGGCAAGTCAGTAGACTTTTTAACAGGGATTCGAATTTTCTACAGAGAGTACAAAATAAACTATTTAGACAAATAACCGGTGTCCGGGATATGTTAAAAACGAACAAATCCACAACGATTTTGGGATTCCAAAATGCTATATAGCTATATACTGTCAAAAATATAAGACGAAGTTATATATCAGACAGCAATTAAACGGCGCAACACCTATTTTCTTGTTTTATAGTTTCCAGATTAAAATGAAAAGTCTTCATATAAGCTTAATGTGACAGTATATCCACAATTTTACTAAATTTCTTTTTTGTTTTTTATTATCTTTTTTTAATTTTTCCTTTTTTAAGTTTGAAGTGCGTCTTTGAGTTTTAACTGTTCGATAGAATAGAAGATCTGTTATATCTAAATTTTGGACGTGCTGTTGCCAGCTATGTATTTGTATTTTATACCTTATGTCAACGTTCAAACAATATATTTAAATAGAATATGGATCGAAACCTCAATCACATATTTAGAATGTATTCCTCTTTTTTTGGAAATTTCAATGTTTTTATTCTGTTTCGTCGGGTCGCTGGTTTAGAGATTTTTTTAGTTTTGGATGGGTACTTGTTCGTTGTAGATGAGTGACTTTGGAAACATTTCTTTTTCTTTACACAGATCGATTACTATTAAGTTTAAAATGCGTAATTCATATTTATATATATTATACGAAAAGTTTTCATAATCATTCTACAGATTTAGAAAATTGATGTATTTTGTATTAACATTTTATAAATAAGTAGATTTTGATATATGCATAATACAATTGCAAATGTTTTGCGATAAATAAAGAAAAAAATTAACAATGCGTCAAATATACCCCGAGTGTTATAAACATCACGTATTAGGGTTTACTTGGGGTGCAACGCTTGTAAAATACCTATAAGGCATTCTCTCATTAAAATGTGTTACGTAAATTGACATTTAATGTAAACAAGTTTTTCTCAAAGGGTTTGTTTTGATAATTAAATAATATAGATATATAGAGCTCTCAGCCTTTTTGATTAATCTGTGCAGTTATAATAATAATATAATAGTATAATAAGTGATGTTACATTTATACATTTGTCTCAGAAATTTTGTTTATTTACCAGACTTCTGAACTTCTTCTTTTGAACAAATTAAAGAATTTACCGCTTCTTCAGGTGATAAATTATTAATTGAAAATCAATGTTATATTTTATAAATAATTTTATTATTTTATACATTTATTTTATAAATTTACTTTCTATGTAATACAATTTATATATATATATAACACTTTTTAAAACATAAAAATTTGATTACACAAAATTTTGATCAATGCTTAAAACTGATACTTTTTGTAATCTCTTAAGATAAAATTTTAAATAATTTCGGAGTACTAAAAATTTTAATAATTGACACATTCAACAGACATACTGTATAATTTTCTATAAATTTTCTTTAATAAAAATTTGCTAAAGTAGGCGATTTCGATCGATATGGAATAAATCTTCTTCAGATTCGCTTGAGTAATCTATTTGCTCAGTCGGTGGGCTTTTTAATCTATGTGATTTGCTTTTCATGGTAACTGAGTTTTTCTCATCACTCTCATAGCGTTCCAATGGTTCTTGTATAGTTTCATCTACCATTTTTACCTCATTATGTTCCATATTTATTTCTTCAGCCTCAGAGAGAAGCGCAAGGCGGTCATACACATAATTTACTGTCATGGTATTATCGTTTAATGCACTTCTTTTTTTGTAAATTTTATAAACAACAACAAGCGATGCAAATGCTATTGGTACTGCAATAAATAAAAAGAATTGGCTTATGGAGAATGTAGTTCCATTGGGGCGTAAAAGTGATGCATCTATGCTTGGGTCATTATAGTCTGCATTATTGCCAGAACTACGTTCGGCGAAAATTATGCAGTATGTTTCATTTGTATGGGGAACTTTGTGAAGTTGTCTCTCCGGATGACATGCAGTACATTGAGAATTCAATGGTCCATAACAGCGGAGGCAGTATGTATCACAATATCCGCAACGTAACATTGCACGGAATTTACCGTCATCTGAACGTAAAAGTTTTTTCTCTGGATATGTATTAGTTGGGCAAGATGTGTAACAGTTTCCATCGTAAAGAAATAGTCGATTGCATTCTAATGAGAGAAAAAAAAATAAAAATTTAAATTCAGAATTAGAAATTAATAATATATATAATATGTATATTATATAAAATTGTATATATAGCTTGTTAGTTTTTAATGTCATGAAGAAGGCTTGATAGTCCAAGCTATGATATTGTAAATTAGAACAGAATTAAACTATTTGCTCATGAGATAGTCTTATTTAATTATGAAGCATAGATTTCTTTTATGAAAAATATTTTGGTATAACTAAACCTTGCTTTTTTCTTAAATGTTGTGTTTATAATTATATATAAAGTATCACAGTATCTGTTTAGTTGAAATCTACAGAGAGATTTAGCAATACCAAACAGTGGATCTTGTATTGAACATTTTATCGAATTGAAGAAGTGTTTGAAGTTCTATACCTGACACAGAGCCAGATCTTAGTGGCATTTTGGTCTAAGATTAGACCAGATCTTAGTGGCATTTGCACCCAAATTATGTGTACCGTAATTAATACAAATACAGAGCAAGAAATAAGCATTATTGTTATTAAAATTAAATGCTTATTGTTAAAGCCAGGGTGCTTTCACAAAAATATATATATAAGAAGTAAAATGAAGATCATAAAAAGTGTATACAGGGGTAAAAAAAATATGCTATTTTCATAAAAAATTAAAGAGCGATTAAATAAAAAATCAGAAAATGACGGTATATGTTAAATTCGAAAATGAATATAGTGAAAACAGTTAAAAAAATTAAAAATACTAATAAAACGTAAAAACGACCCCAACTGAATTGAAGAAACTCAGTCCTTCGACTAAAGAGTATGATCACTTAGAAGATTGTGAGATCACATAAAAAAAATTATAAATAGTTGAAAAAATGAAAAATTAGTGCAGTAAACACTTGTGAACCATTATTTCTTTGTCTTCATTGTTTTTATTATAAAAGCTATATTATTAGAAAATGTTTCATCTTAAGTGTATTAACATTATCAGTTTAAGGTTAAATTTAAAGTTAAAATTTTTTGATTTTGTAAAATTTAATTTCTGTGTAGTTTGTGGAAATATAAAAACTAAACGATTATATATGTATATAAAATATAGTTTCTTAACCATTGAATAGCAAACTTCATAAAATATTTAAAAGCATTATTTGTATGAGTATTTACATATATCATAGCTTAAAGTTATATCAAAATTATTTGAATAATAAATATAATAACAAACACCATTTAACATGCTTAATTAACAAAATATAAATAAATTATTTTAACTTAAATTTAAATTTAATTAAATACAAACAAGGACACTAACACTACTAATATATTTTAAAAATATGAACAAATCTAAAATAAGAATTTTCATATGGAATATGCATATAAATATACAAATTTTTGTATATATTTGGAAACAAACATAATATTTATAATATATTTTGATTTTTTAAATATTTTTATATTATAATAAAAATAAAAAACAATATAATTAAATATTTAAATATTACAAAAACACATATAAGTAATACAAAATAAAAAATTTGAACAATTAAACACAATTTTTATTGTTAAAACAAAATTATTAGTTTAAATTTATACAAACAATTAAAAATACCATATATTTTCATTATCATTTTTTAGTAAATAAATGGCGCTACTAAAAACTATTGTACAAAATAAAAAAATAATTTCAATTCAAAATAGCAAGCAAAGCCATCAGAAGTATAAAAAACATGCTTTACAAATATATTAAATTATTATAAAAATATAGTTATAATTAAAGAAAGTAAATATTTAAATTAATTTGTTAATTATTTAATTTTAATGAAAAAACAATTATGGAAATTTAATTTTTTATGAATGATCAAGTGTAAAAGTTTGGAAAACCAAATTTCTTATATTTATTTGTGTAAGTAGAATAATTTAACGTTTAAAATTTGTCAATTTATTGTTCTATTTTTTTTGTTTTTCTATTTATCTCTATATTTCCATTTATCATTCCATGTGTCTGTTTAACTACTCTATGTCAATTTTTATTTCTTTTTATGTATAACGTATATGAAGCACAAAGCTTTTATTTCGTTACTTATGTCTCCATGTCGATTCGCTTTTAATTATTTCTATGCTTTCTCTAAGCCTTTATATCTTGCTATTCACTTATTTATCTTTCTATGCCTATTTCTCTCTCTCTCTCTCTATTTATTTCGCTCTCTCTTTCTTTTTATCTTTTTCTTTCTCCCTCTCTTTCTTTTTATCTTTTTCTTTTTCCATCTCTTTCTGTTTATCTTTTTCTTTCTCTCTCTCGTTCTTTTTATCTTTTTCTTTCTCTCTCTCTTTGTTTTTTCACTATCCTCACTCTCTCTCTCTCTCTCTTTTTCTTTCTTACTCTCTCTCTTTCTCTCTTCCTCTCTCTCTCACTCTTTCTCCCTCTTTTCTCAGTCTCACTGTTTTTCTCTGACTCTTTCTCTTTCTTCTCTATTTTTCTTTCCTTCTTTTTGTTTTTCTCGCTCTATTTCTTTCTTTATCCATCTCATTTTCTCTCTCTCGGTTTTTTTGAGAATCTTTTTGTTTCCTCTCCTTATTCAAATTTGTAACATTTTCTTTCATTAGTCTTGTATACTTAAGCTCAACTTCTGCTTCCTTAATTTGTCTCTAATTGCATATTTCCTATTCAAGATGTTTTTACTTGGTCCTATTTTCCTTTTTGTCCTATTTTTTTTTGCAAGTCTGTTTTGTCTTTTATAGTATTTTGTTGTTTATTATATTATACGAGTGTATTTAATAACAGTTTTTAATTTTTTTATTATAATTTTTTCATACTTTTTTTATTATGTTTTTTTTTTACATTTTATTTTAATATTCTTTTTTATTATATTTTTTTAATATTATTTAATATTTATTAAAATTTTATTTTTTTATTCGATGACTATTAATTGTTAAAGCGTATATTATTTTTACTAACATTAATATTTTTCTAAAAATAAGAATTATATTTATTTTCCATCTGAATCATTTACAATTGATCATATATAAATTTATATTAATTTTTTTTTATGTAAAGCCAAACCCGCTACCAAAGTATTAGGAAAAAAATTACCAAATTTTAGCAACCATTGTTTTTTTTTTATTTAATTTAAGACAAAATGAAAATGAAAAATAATTAGAAAAAAAAATATTTTTGTAACAAATGAAGTAGTCTTGAATCCTGAAGTGAAGCGCATATATGTGCATTACTACTATGTATATATGTATGTATATGTATGTATGTGTGTTTGTATGTGTATAAATTTTTAATATGCCAAAAATGCTCAAATTTATTTAAGAATGAATAATTAACCGATTTATTTGTTGAATAATTTTTAGTTAATTTAACTCACCTTTTGTCTTTTGTTGTTGCTTTGGTTAAATATTTTTTTCTTGTTTGGTTAAATGCTGGTTAAATAAAGATTATTTTTTGTAGCGGTTTTGCTGTTTTTTGAATAAATTTTTAATGAGGCTTTTGACTTGCTAATTTTTTATATATTTAAATTTTTTAATACATAATTTTAATTTTTTAATTGACAAACTATCAAAATATAGCACTATTCTGAAATGATGTCATTGAATTTACCCTTTGTGATCTATGGCACTTTCACGAAACTCTTTTTAGTAGCGCTTACAATAATTTTATTTTATTATTAAATATATAAGAAAGAAATATTCAAAAACACCAATTTTTTTTGTGAAAACATTTTTGTTTGCAAATCTTTTTTATTTATTTATTATTTTTAATACTTAAGTATATATAATTTTTTGTATTCATTATTATAAATGTTAAATCGCTTAAATTTATTTATATATATATATATATAGTTCATTTTTTTTAGATATTTACATAGACATTTATTTGCATTTTTTTCATTTTCATTTCATTTCTTTTATGGAAACTTAAGCACTAAATATTTGCGCAATTAATATTTTACAATAATTTTAAAAATTTTATTTTTATTCTTTATTTTTCTATTGTGTATGTTGAGGTTATATTATTTTTTCAAACTAATTAAGCTTTAATATACAAACTTTTTAATTACAAGTTCTGTTCAGTTGCTGTAAAATGTATTTTTTATACTATTTTACGTATATTTAACTACGGAGACTATTACAATTTATTTATATATATATATGCGCTATTTCCCTACACTATTTACTGTGTAAATTTGAAGTTACTTTAATTTATTTATTGTATATAAAATGCTTATTTGAATTTATTTTTTTAATTTTTTATTTACTTATGTGCTATTTTTTTTGGCTTTTAAAATTTCCCTTCAATATTTTTTTTTTTGTTATCAATTTTTTTAATAAATTTTTTCAATAAGTACCAAAGCCCAAACAAAATATATATAATCTTTTGAATATATTATGAGGTGAAAGACATATTTCAATAAAAAACCATATAATTTTGATATAAGTTAATTTTTTTTAAATTTAACAAAAAATAAAAAAATTTTGTAAGATTTTTTTTGTTTAAAAAAAATACACTCAGTATAAAAAACTGATCATAAAACAAGAATTGTTTATATTTGTTTAAACGAGATATTTAATACGTATTTATAATTTTTTTATACGTGTTTTTTAGATTTCAAACCAATATATATATTGGTTTTACTGAAAGTTTCTTAATGGCTTTTATATGGAAACTCTAATATATCTTTAGTAGAAAATCATTTTTATAACAATAGTAATTATAAAACTTTTTTGTTTGTTGTGAAGCATTATAGTTTATAAAGAGTATTTAAGATAACTAAAAAAAAAATATATATAACAAAATTTAAGAAATAGCATAAGATAAAATTTTTATAAACTAAATATTTAAATACATATTAAAAAACGAATAAAATAAAAAAAATTTATCTAAATATTTTATTGATATGTCAATTCAAATATTAAAAAAGTATTATTTAAAAGAAATATAAAATATATAAACCATGAAATTAGTAAAATAGTAATAATCTCTCTCTCAAGTTATAATAATATAGGACTCAAAAAAAGT